GGTGCGTGGAGCCCCCAAAGCAGCGCAACTCCTTGCTCTTCTCAGGCAGTTCCTGTGGAGCTTCCGGCTGCCCGGGGAGGCGCAGAAGATCGACCGGATGATGGAGGCCTTCGCCCAGCGGTACTGCCAGTGCAACCCCGGCGTCTTCCAGTCCACAGGTGAGCACCTGCCCCGGCCCCGTGCCCCGGCCCTGCTCCCCAGCCATCCTGCCTCGAGCTGACTTTCCCCTCTGCCCCTGTAGACACCTGCTACGTGCTCTCCTTCGCCATCATCATGCTGAACACCAGCCTGCACAACCCCAACGTCAAGGACAAACCCACAGCAGAGCGCTTCATCGCCATGAACCGTGGCATCAACGATGGAGGGGACCTACCTGAGGAGCTGCTCCGGGTGAGGGTCGGGATGTGGAGGGGCCGGGGCCAGGCTGCAGAGCTGGCCCATTGCATGGCTCCCGAGCAGAGCAGAGCTGACACTGTGTACTGTTGTACCAGAATCTCTATGAGAGCATCAAGAATGAACCCTTCAAAATCCCTGAGGACGATGGCAATGACCTCACCCACACGTTCTTCAACCCTGACCGGGAGGGCTGGCTCCTGAAGCTAGGTGAGCGCTGGCAGCGGGCAGACGCGGCCAGGGCAGGAGCTGGGCTGTGGGTGCGATGCCCTGGGCTGTGTGCAGCTCATGTGCTGGCCTGGCTCCTCGGAGCATGGCCCTGCAGAGGGGCAAGAGGCTGTGGATGGGGACACAGCCCCCACGGGGAAGGCGTCCATACACCCAGCAGCCCTCCATCTTCTGACGAGGCTCTGCGGTGCCGCTGGGCTGGTATCCTGGGGGGTTCTGCCTCTAGGCTGGGCGAGCCCCAGGGTACAGAGCTGGTACTGGGGTCCGGTGTCGGAGCACGGAGACCACAAGGCCCTTCTCATCACCGAGTCACAGCAGGGTCCTGTCAGAGCAGGTCCCCAGGAGCGAGCGGCGAGCTGCCCCAGGCTGCGTGCGTCCCCCCCTCCATGCCACAGACCAGTCACTGCCTCACCTTCCCACAGCATTATCACC